ACTTATATATATATATTTTTATATACTTATATATATATATTTTTATATATATATATATATATATATATATATATATACTTATATATTTATATTTCCTGTAATTACCCCCCTACAGATTCTATAATCATAGCATTGGTCAGTCAATAAATCATCAATGAATTTATTGTCAAAACTTATGAAAAAATTTTAAATTTAGAATTTGCCTAACTTAGCAACACCCCATCACCCCCATTCGGAAACATTGCCATTCAGCTGTGGCCAATGGCTCTAGAAAATTGTGATATTTTGTAAAATCTGATATTTCACAATTCGCAAGAGTTGAATTCCTCATGCCATCGAACATGTCTGGGACCATTTTGAACAAGGTTTTTTTCTTCTTTCTACCTTTCTGCTCCCAATTTTTCTCTTTCCCTTAATTTATTTCTAAAAGATATTGTTGGATTATAAATAAAGCAATTATAATTATAACTAAATGATAGGTATTTAGTAGTATGATAGAAATACTTATTCTTCAACAACATGCTGCATTTTGTCTTTGGTGGTAGCTCAATCACTTATTTGATACATGAAAAAAAGATTTTTTAGAAATATGCATAAAAAAACAGTAGTTTAATAGGAATTTGTTGTATAAATATATTTCAATGTCTAATGAAGCATTGATTTAAAAGATTTTTTTTTTGCTTTGATTTTTGTAACTTTGTAACTGAGAATTATTTTGTAACCAAAAAAAAAAATTAAAGCAAAACTAAAACAAAAAAAACAACTATCTGTCACATATTTCAGCAAGCATTTGTAGCTTTGTTAGATTTTGCTCAGAATTACTCCATTATAATCAGGATCTGAATCATTCAGATGCTGAAATATCTGAATCAAAATGACTCAGATATTTCAGCATCTGATTTCTATTTCTAAATTATTTAAACTATTCCCTATTTACGAATGAATACAAATTTGCTTTAGAGAAGTGAAAATTTAGTCAACTACCTAATCTTTGAAAAATAAAAAATTGTTTATTGCATAAAATCTGTAGCTTGCTATGAAAATATGATGTCAGATTTATATTCAGCAAATCAAAATTAAGTATGAGCAAGTGTCAACATTAATGCAATAAATTATTTGTTGACCTGTGTAATTTTTGATTTACGATTAACCAACTCAAAATTTAGTTCATCACTAAAAATGACCTTACACCAATCTTCTACTGACCAGTGAAGTTTTTACTTACAACAGTTATATGTTACAACAGTTATATTTTTGATCCTATCTGTCACTTTAAAAACAGTTTTCTGGAAGCAACAAATCATTCAATACCATTTTTATTAAGACACCTCATTATGCTGTAAGTGACACTAACGTAACAAGCTTATTTCTACACTCAGCTGATTCAGTTTTCAATTGCTAGTATTAGGATCTTTCATTACCCTTTGATACAATAAACTTTGGTCCCTAGAATTAAGTTTTGATGGCCAACTTTTGGTGAATCTTTTAGGTCATTTGATAGTTTATAGTTTTTCAGCTTTGTTTGTAAAACGCGTAATTTTGCTTCTTGTTGATTTCAGTGTTGTTTGGACACAGCATAGTAAAACATATAATCTTGTTATTTCTAGTTGACTTTTTTAATTATCTTTGGATAGGCAGATATTTGCCATTCGACTTTTTGTGATTTCTGCTTGTTATTCTGCTTCAGATGTCAAGAATTTACTGATTAAAATCTCTTTTCAATCCTTATTTTATTTTTACATCATTAGAAAGCTATATAATTGATTCAAAAAATAAATTTTAACTACTTATCATTTAAAAAAATTAAGGCATAATTAAATAACCGTCTAAAAAATTCAAGTGACTTTTCATTTTTTTGAAAGCCACTGTAAATATATTTTATAGCACTAGCTCACAGCATTAGTTTCTGGCAAATTAGGCTGTGGGCAATCTCTCCTGTGTATGCATACTGATACATCTGCAGTATTTTGTGGGTGAATAGTTATATACATGTGTGCAATATAAAAAAGTTTTAGCAATTTTTAAATCTGATAAATTTATCCGTAATAAGTTTTTGATACCAAAAATAATAATTTTTAGTACCAAAAATAATAATCTTCCAAACCAATTACATTTAATTTTTTATATTTATTGTATGTGTTATTTTAACTAATGGGTTGATTGCTTTGCACCTTTTTTTAAGTTTAGAAATAAGTTGTTAACTTTAATATTCAAATATGTTCTTTTAATGTTTTAGGAAATCCAGCTTCGAATTACAAAAGAGCAACAAGAATACCAAAGTTTTCTTCGTTTCTCTGCACAGCAACACCTTAACGACTATTTATACATAAGTTCAAGTATTAAGGAAAAATTACAGGTACATGGTACTTTGCACAGGTGTTTCACTTATCACAAATATCTTATTTAATGCACTTATCTTACTTATCACTGCTGTAAAACCAGTTATCTTACTTAGTACTGGTGTCTTACACCAGTTATCTTTTTTAGTATATATTATATTACAGAATGTTATATTTAATAAATAATATTAATTATATTACAATATATTAAATAGTATTCAGGGTGTTGGCCAGTAAGATGGTATCCCAAATAATGTGATATTCTCAATTGGTTTAAAATTAGTGTATATAGGAGTTACTAGAAAAAAAGATTAGAGTTACAGAGCAAGGAAACAGTTGATAGAAGACTTAAAAAGTTAAAGGTTGTATGAGTAAGGAAAACATGAAGATGGGAGATTCAAATGGTTGAAGTGCGGGGGGGGGGGGGGGGGGGAATAGACAAATGAAAGTTTTTGGAGCATTGAGGAACAGATACAGTAAAAGAATGAGACTTTGCTGAATGACGAGTCAAGTGAGAATGAGTTTTAGTTGATAGAACTAGAGATGATGAAGGATGAAGGATGATGCTCCTTTGAGAAGTGACCATTGTAGTATTTGTAGAAAAGAGAAAGAGATTCGACTTTACGACGATGGGAAAGAGGTTCAAGCTTAGCAGATAAACCGTGTCCAACTACCTTTACAATCATTTTTAGGACTTTGTCTAAAAGGGAAAGAGCATCATTAGACGAACCAGCCCAAATATGAAAATAGTAAAAATTAGCAGTTACCATGCATTCACATCAATTAAATTGTACTATTTTTTTGTTCAACTGTTTTATTAAATAATATTTGAATAGATAAAAAATGTGGTCTCTTCAATTGTTCAAGTTATAAAAGATACATTTTACTTATAAGAGCCATTATTTGAAAAATCAAAGTCTGAAATTTGAGAAGCAAAGTCTGGAGCTGATGTCTTCAAATTGTCTTCATTTTCAGATATTTTGTAGAAATCAATGAAATTAGGCCAATCAGCAATTTTTTTTTTAAAGTTCCTATATTGGGTCCCAAATTATAGCCCATTTTGTGAAAATATTTCTGCATGGAGTGCAACTGCTATTTTGAAGGGCATTTTTAGCAACATAAATTTGAGAGATTTTTTTTTTTCTTTTTTCTTTTTTTTTTTGCTACTCCCGGTAGATTTATACAGTAAAAAGTGAACATACTTGTACTTTTTGTTGTATAGAAATCATGGTTTGAAACAGCTATATTTTAAATTTTACCCTTACTTTGAGCATTAATAAGTCCATTACTTGCGCATAGTTTCCTTAAGTGTTTTTGAAAGCCACAAATGCATACATTGATTGTATGCAAGTTGTCAAAAAATAATTTTTAAGGTTATTGCACTTAACTAGATTACCCAAAACCATGACCTTAGGTCTGCCATAAAAGTTATTTGGTTTCCTTATATATCACCTTCCAATATCTGATAAAATATCCATGTGCTTAGGGGATGAAAATCCTGCAGAAATCCTAGAAGTAGCCTTATTTTGCCAAATTTTGAATGAAACCCTAGCAACAGAATAGTTATGCTTAGTAATGGCTACTTAATTAGTAATTAGTAATAATTAGTAATGTAATTAAAAAATTCAATTCTAGATGTTTTTACATTGGATCCGTATGAGATTACTTGTTAAAGAATAATTTTTAAACTTTTTCGATGAGCGAAAATACCATTAAATATCAAACATTGATAAAAAAACACTTTTTCAAGAAAATAAACAAAAAAATAAAATTTTTAAGAAGTTTATTAGTTAATCTGATTTTCCACATTGTCAATGTCATCTTTTGAGACAAAATAATTTCCGGTTTGATTTGTTGGTGTTCTCCAATCACCAATTTGAAAATCAACTCCTTTGCTATCAGCTGAATATTGTCATTTAAATTTCAACTTGTTTCTCTACGCAGCGACCTTGTTCGTCGAGGTTTGCATTTCGGAGTTATAGAGTTGAGAGATGGTTTTAACCACAAAAGTAGCCTCCTCAACTGTAGTGGCCTTCTCGGCCTTGGGGAGGTAAAAAATTAAAAAAAAAATCTATCATCTTTAATATGATTTGTCTCACATCATCAGTTGCATCAATCTTGTCATCAATTAGATTAACCTTATTACAGAAAATAGTTACCAACTTTCCTGCTCTTTTTTGATCAAGTATATTTTTTTAGATGAAGTACCATCTAAAAAATATATTTGAAGTATGAAGGAAATTGTAAAATATTCACCTTAAGCCCCAAAAAAAGATTAAAGTAAAATTTTAAATCATACATACTTAAAGTATTAGTAAATATACAAGTTAATTTATTTGTCAAAGAAAAAAAACAAAAATCAACTTTGTTGAACTATCACATATTCAAATGGCTTTAACTTTGTCCTCAGCTCCTAGTAAACCTAGTAAAGTATTGGACTAATCATCTTTCGGCAATCTTCTCCAGAAATAAACATCTGCATTAACGTTTTTTTGTTTTGAAGAATATCTGAATCATTTTTTCTCGGTAATGCTTATCCAGTGGTATTTGCAAAGTTTTCCCTTCTTTATTGACTGAATGAGATAATAGCAGATAATCAGAAGAATTTAGGTGCAAGGTTTTCATTTTGTTGATAAAAGATTTTTCACAGATAGAAAAGTATGATTTTCTAATAGCATGTGTTCTTTTAACAATTCATTATTAAAAAATGATTTAGCACAACCAAATTGTGTACAAAATATGAAAAATTCATGGAAATTGTTGATGTAATATAATTTTTGCAAGTTGAACTAAAAGGTTTAACAATAAAAACTGAAAAGAATAATAGTTGCTTATGTTAAAAATTAGATTTCTTTTTTAAACAAAGAAAAAAAACTTTTTAAAACTTTTTTAAAAAATCATTTTTAATTATGGCCTATTTTTTTTATTTTGGCTGAAAGATTTTTAGACACAAATTTTTCACCCAAAGTCTAGTTTCCTCATCAATTCGCTCAAAAGCTATTTTTTTTGCCATTTTTTGCTGTGCATTGTGTATTTGGTGTTTGTTATAGACTTTAACATCATCTGTTGTCACATTTAAATCATATAGAAGATCTTCATCTTTACTTCCTATAACTAACTCACAAACCTGATTGATTGCTGAAATGAGTTCAGCATGTTCATCTTCAGCAACTATGGTGGGCTGATTTAAGATCAATGTATGCATTTGTACCTTTCAAAAACACCTAAGAAAACTATGTGCAAGTAATGGCCTTAGAAGATTTTAATGCACAAAGTAAGGGTAAAATTTAAAATATACCAGTTTCAAACCATGATTTCTAGACAACAAAAAGTGCAACCTTGTTCACTTTTTACTGTATAAATCTACCAGAGTACCAAAAAAAAAATTATCTCTCTCAATTTCATGTTACTCCATGCACAAATATTCTCACACAATAGGCTATAATATGGGAAACAATATCTCTACATTAAATAGAAAATTTTTAAAAAAATTCCCATTTAATGTGGAGATATTTAATGTGGATTAAAAATTGTCCTTTTGTCTAATTTCATTGTTTTCTACAAATTATCTGAAAATGAAAACAATTTTAAGTTCTCAATTCCAGAATTTGTTTATATGTTTCTCTATGTTTCTCAGGCAATGGCTCTTAAGTATAGAATTTTAATTACAATTGTTTAAAGCTTTTTTAACTTTTCAGACTTTGATCAATGGAACTTCCATTAATCACTTCAAGTAAAATTTTTTTATTAAATAACACTCAATGATATATAGAACTTTTAAAAATCAATGTTTTTTATTGATATTTATATGAATTTTTTTTTTACATATTGATAATTGTTTTTATTAAAGTCAATCAAGTTATAAAAAAATCAAGCAATAAAAAAAGGAATAAATAAGTTTTAATAAAGTTTATTAAAAATAAAACTTAAAGTGATTTATTATAATACATACATTTTAAAATAAGTTTTTAGTTAATTACAATAATTTATTATTATCCATATGCTATTCCCTTCATATATGCATCACAACAAAAACTAATTATAAGGGCTTGTATGTTATATGTATAATTTTGTAACCTTTTCAAAAAAATTTGCTATACTTTTAATGTTTTTATTTTTTTATTTTTATTCCAGATGTTAAATCAAATCATCAAGATGTTAAATTAAATCAAAGTGTTTAAATTACTGCTTTGCTTGATTGGTTTTTGCAAATTCAAAAGGAAATCCCCAACATTTATTCAACTAGCTTTTTGTTTCTTCAAATTTCTATTAAATTATATAAGATCTCAACACTTAATTTTGCATAATTTCAACTTAATAAAGTAGCAGTAACAATAAAATGCTTTCCAAAATTAATGAAAAATATTATTAGAAAAGGAAATTCAACATTATCAAGTTAAAATATTTTTTTCATTTTATATTCATTTTTTAAATATATTTTTAATTTTGTTTTTACTTTTTTTGCAATAGACAATTTTTTATTTTTTACCTAATAATTGCATTACCATAACAAAATAGAAAATTAAAATAAGGAAAAAAGGTTGAGGCGATGCCAGTATTGTAAAAATCTAATATTGTAAAAATGCTGTATATAAATTTATCCCTAGCTAACCACCTGATACGTATTATATTTGTGTGCTTTAATTGTTCTTGTTGTTGAAGTTTAATAAAGCTTAATTAAATATAAAAAGTTATAAAAAAAATATAAAATATTAAAATTTTTAAAATTAATCAAGTGTAAAAAATTATGAAATTATTTTTCATTAGAATGAAAACTTTAAAGAAGTTGTGGCAGTACTGGAGCGAAAGGTAAAAACTTTATTTTTTTTATTTTATTATTATTATTATTTTCATTTGTGAAAAGATTTAATAGCTCTTTTAAAATATAAATAGGACTTGGGATTCAAAATATAAATAAAAAATCAACCAAAAAGAGTTTGGAAAGAATAAAATTGATAAGAGCAAAGAGAGAAAGGTTAAAGAAAAGAGAAAAAGTTAAAGAAAAGAGAAAAAGGTTAAAGAAAAGAGAAAAAGGTTAAAGAAAAGAGAAAAAGTTAAAGAAAAGAGAAAAAGGTTAAAGAAAAGAGAAAAGGTTAAAGAAAAGAGAAAAAGGTTAAAGAAAAGAGAAAAAGTTAAAGAAAAGAGAAAAGGTTAAAGAAAAGAGAAAAATTTAAAGAAAAGAGAAAAAGTTAAAGAAAAGAGAAAAGGTTAAAGAATTTGAACAAAGAAAAAGAACTAGAAGGAGAGGAATCACAACAACAAATATTTTTATAATATAAAATATAAACCTAAATATATAAAATATATTTAGGTTTTGGCAAGTTTTTTGCCAAACTTTCAAATCTTAGCAATCTTGAACATAAATTTGGAACATTTAATTTGATAGTTTTTTGAAAAAAGACCTGACCTTTTATAGTCCACAGGACATATATGTCCTAGTTAACTTGAGGTACTATGGCTATCCTCAAGTTAACTAGGTTAGAAACTATTTTATTTTTTGATGGTTTTTTGAGTTTAGAAACTATTTTATTTTTTGATGGTTTTTTGAGAAAAGTTTAACTTTTTGTAGTCCATAAGACATAACTAACAACTTTTAATTTTAACTATTTTGTATGAGTCGGAAAAAGATAAAGGTTGAAGAGAGCATTGATGTTCAAGGAAAAAAACTAGATAAATACAAGCTTTTTGAGCATAAAGTAAAAAACTAGATAAATACAAGCTTTTTGAGCATAAAGTATTTTGAGCATAATGAAACAGTAAAAATATATAAGTTTTGATAAACAAGTGATGATAGCTTGGTCAAGCAGTGACCATTTATATGTAAAAAAGATAAAGAGATGCAACCATAAGACAATAACACAGAAACACAAGCTTAACAGTTAGAGCAGGTGCTAACTTTGCAATGAGTTTTATATATTGTTTCCCTTAGAGATAAATAGTAAAGATAATCTGAGAAGTTCATCAATAAAGGAGTACAAACAATATTGCAATAATTATTTGCTAAAAATAATGGCTTTCTTGTCAAGACTGGACTCATGACTTATCAACAAAAACAGTAGGATGTTAGGGCAAAGGTTGGAATATCATTAGCAAACAGTCATATAGAAATAAAATTATCAGGAAGATTATTAACATAGATGTAAAACAACATATGACCAAGAATGAAATCTTGTGAAATAACTGGAAATAATGGAAAGTGTTGCCTTTCAAGGACAACTTTAATACACAAAAGATTGGGTAAAATTTGGTTGAAAAATTTGTTTTTTGAGTTGAATAGTTTAATAATAGTAACATTTTTAAATTTTTTGTTTTTTAAATTTTAAAAGTTTTCATTAAAAATTTTCTCAGATACACAATATGAACAAAGCTAATGAAGAAGACCAACATACTAAATTTTATCTTAACCTTTTGATTCATCAAGAGCAATAGCCCTTGTCTTACCGCTTCCATCTGCAGGAACATTTTTGTCAACAAGTCAGCAGTAGAACAAGAGAATCAAAATCCGATTGTCAGAAAGTTGTTATACTGAGATATTAGAAGTTTTTTTATTAAGAAGACTTTGCTAATAATAGAAAGGAGATTCCTTGTATTTAATTGCATTAAGACACTATCTTCTGTCATAAATAAAAGAGATTCCTTGCATTTAATTGCATTCAGACTATCTTCTGTCATAAATAAAGGAGATTCCTTGCATTTAATTGCATTCAGGCATTATCTTCCATCATAAATAAAAAATGATCTTTTTGCATTTGGATCCATTACAGCCTTGTTTATAAATACAAATATAATATAAATAAGAAACATTATCTACTTAATCTAATTTTAGCAGTTTTGAGAAAATTTTTAGTTTCATTATTTTAAATTTAGTTTTAAACCAAACAATTAAATTCAAATCTTTTTAATAGTTAAATTTTTTATTTTAATTAAAGTATTTTTTTATTTACAGAATGCATATTCACAGATCCAAACCATAGAAATAATTCAAGAAAATAAAAAAACACCATTTAATTTCATTGGAAATGTTTTTTCACAGGTGCTCTTTATAAATTTATGTTTGACTTTGTTATGTGCTATATATGCATTGCTTTATAAATGCATATAAAAAATATGGGTTAAATGGTTAAGTGTATTTATAGTGCAGAAGTTAAGTATATAAAGTATATAAGTATATAAGTATAGTAGAGATATTTAATTTATGTAGAATGAAGCATTATAACAACTTTTAATTCCCTTATTTTAAAGTATAGAAACAAGTTGATATTTTGAAACCTTCTTCTTGTTTGAATAACTTATCACAAAGAATGAATCCTTGTGCAAAGGTTTTTGATTTATATTGTTATGATTTTAGATTTATATATATATATTTTTTTGTTGAAATTTTATTCAACTTTTAGTTAAGCAATGTTATCTATAATTTTTCAGTTGAATTTGAGTGAAAAAGAGATTCTCAATTTAAGTGTCACTGAGGAGTCATCGTTTTATATAAAAGAAGAGTCTTTTATTAATATTGTTGAAAGTTTTGTATTAAATAAATGCGAGTGGCTTATTCCTATCACTGTAACAAGCATTAATGGTAAGTTAGTTTAATTGTTATAATGGTTTTAATTTTATAAAATATTTTTATAATTATTGAGACAGCACTTGCATTAGTCTTGCTGTTGCTGCAGTTATGCTTGCACAAATACAGCAAACATTACACTTTGTTTCACAGACTTCAAATTAGGTTTAATATCTTTTTTTTGTTTCATTTGTATATTTTAAAAAACATTTAGTAATGCTTCATTTTACTATCATCATTGCTTTTTCTATCATTAAATATAAACTGCAAACCTTTATTCTCCGCATAAATGTTTTGCAATATTTTTTAGACTGAAATTGTAAGTTTTCAATTTAAAGAATTTTAGGAACTCAAAAATTTAAATGAAACTTGTTTAATCACCTGTCATATCTGATGAATAGAAATAAATCAGAAAAAATTTTGAAAATAAAGGATTGAGTTATCAAGTTATTAAAATCAATACAATTTTGAAATTTTATCTGTGACACTCTATTAGTATGTAGATTCATAGTTTTACTTTATCTAATAATCTTGCACCCTCATTATTTTGGGTATTTAAATTGACTAAATTGGCTTATATTAAATTTCTTATTGTGTTTTTGAGAGTTTTTCAGTAAGAAATACTACTGTTATATATAGTATTGTTAGAAGTTCTGAACGCTGTTAAATGTTACAAAAATTTTTTGTTTGTTTTGTTAACGCTGTTTTTAGTTTTTTTTGCGTTTTCAAAATTCAGACGAGAAAATTTTTTAATTTGTTAGGTATTATACTTGATAGGATACTTGATGTTTGAAAACTTGGTGCTACCATCATAAAGACTTGGTGTTACCATTTTTATTATTTGCTAGAGAAAGTGAAGCTGTCTACTAATAAGTCCTCATTTGTTGGTACTCTGATTTGAAAATATTCTTTTCAGCCAAAACACTTTTTTTTACTTTTACATCTTTGTCCAACCAAGTTCGCTCATATTCCAGAAGTCTTTAGAAGGTTCTTGAATGTTTCCGCAACATTGATCAAAATTTACATTTAAATATTATTAGAGTTTTCTAGATTTATCATTTCAGGTTTGTCAATACAATAATACTTTTTTTTCTAAACCTTTTTCATTCTATTTTGTATCAGTAGTTGTTTCAGAAATTGTTCAAACTGGTGTTAGCACATGGGTCATCAAAAATTTAAATACATCACTAAAGATTTTAATACAATCAAATACATTTTTTCTTATTCAAAACTCAACATTTCTAACAGTTTTGAAAGAAAAACCAATATTAAATATTTGAATCTTATTTTTATTAAACGTCAGTTTAAATTCACTTCAACTAAACTATTAAAAACATATTGAACTTAATCTTTCATTAGGAAAAATTTAATTTATTTGTATCACCCTTAAATACAAGATTAAAGTTAAAAAAAGTTAAATTCAGTAAAATAATTAAGAGTTACAACATTAAAAATACGTTTTGACAAACTGAACGAATGAAGTCTCCACACTGTTTGGCAAACTGTTTTAAAAACTTGAATCATAAGATATAGTATAGATAGGAAGAAGTTTTTTAATAAAAGTTTTTTAGTAAATGTTAACTCAATCACAAGAGTTTGAACTTTTTCTATTTAAAAGTCGTACAATGAACTTTAGGTCTAAGTTGATAAAACTGAGATGTAAAGGTGTTTTAAAAGACTCTTTTCTATCTACCCAAGACAGTTTGCTAAACGGTGCGGAGACTTCATTTTAAATTTAAACCTACATGGAACAGATTTAAATATAAAGAAAAGTATACCTAATATCTAGAGCGACTCTCTAGTTACTTTTAATGGAATAAGAATTTAATTTAGTGTTAACTTTTGCATGTTGGTTTCGAGCAGGATAAAAAAATATTTGATATTTTGTTTGATTATGTCCCATATATACTTTAACATTATTAATAAAACTAAATATTTTAAAATGTTTTTGTTGTTTTAAATTTTGTTTAAAATATTTCCAATTTAATATATATATACTTTTTGTAATGAACATTTAAAATGCTTAAATGGGCTTAGGCCTTTTCAATTTTATCCTTTTCTCTATTTGATTTATTTATCTTTTTTTTTTCCGATTTTATGTAAACACTTTTTTATTTTTATAGAAGAAATAAAAATTAAAAAAAAAAACATTTTGTAATGTGCATCTAAAATGTTTAAATAGGCTAAAACCACCCTTTATTTTACCCTATTGACTCTAAGCACTTTGTTCGGATTTAAAAAAAAAAAAACTTTTTTCTATTGTTACAAGACAAATATTCTTGAATAAAAAAGGTTTTATTTGAGTAACGCAACATAAAACAAAATGGTCTCAGTGTTTGCTCATATTTTAAATATCATTATGTTTGTTACAATTTTACGTTGTATTTTCTGGTTTTTATTTGCTTATCTATAAATTCACCATCTGCAAACACATAAACACTCAAAATATGATTGTGATATGTTGGTTTTGATGTTGAAGCTCATTCAGCAGTCAGTTTTTCTCTTATATAAGTGTTAATAGTTCCTTTATATGCAGCATTACTTTTTGAGTACCCACATACAAACTTAGTTTAACTTGCTCTTTACTTGTACCACTGTCATCAGTCAATAACCAAGTGACATCAGTGAATAACCAAGGTTTACTTAAGTCGTATCAAAGATTCATTGTAAATCTTTAAAACCTTACATCATAACGCTTTGATTTAATTTTTGCAAATTTTTTTAATAAATTGGTGTCGTTTAAGTAATTTGTAGCTAATGTGGCATTTTTCAATTCTCTTTTTCTTTGTTTTCTGCGACTGCTGAAATCGAACCTTTTAAGAAAGATTTTAGTCCAGATATATTTGTACTTCTGCAAAGTAGTATTAGTTATTTTGTTTAATATCACAGTAAAATTTTTGTAATAAACAGTTCAAGATAGCAAATGTTTGAGTTAACCGGTGTTCGGCTTACCGGAAATTAACTGTATATACATAGTGCTTAATAGTGCTTAAATCGATGGAAAATAACTTTTTTACAACAAACCTGTATATAAACAGTTATAGAAATGTTAAATCTTTTTTTTTTTTTATTGTTTTAGAAAGACTTTTGTAATTGAAAAAAGTTATAAAATGCCTAATATTTTATTTTGTAATTCTTTTCACCTAGTAAACATTTATTATATATTTTTTCTTACAATAAAAATATAATTATATAAAATAAATAGAATATAAATTTACCGTGAATATATAAATTTATCGTGTGTTATATATATATATATTTATGTTTATATATATATATATATATATATATATATATATATATATATATATATATATATATATATATATATATATATATTGTTATTATTACTTTTATATATAGGAAATATCCCAATATATATATATATATATATATATATATGTATATATATATATATATATATATATATATATATATATATATATATATATATATATATATATATATATATATATATATATATATATAATTGTTATTATTACTTTTATATAAAGGAAAAATGACGGTGTTAGTTGAAAAACCATTCGCAAAAAGAAGTATAACTGCAAGAGACGCCTATGCTAAGTATTATGAAAAACCTTTAAAAAATTTGTATTGTGATTCGCAGGGCCGCACAGAACCTCGTGGACCGTCTGTTAACGCATTTTTGTGTGGTGAATTTAAATTACTTATAGAAACTGAAATCGATTACATCGATCCTTCAACAAACCGAACTTATTCATTGTTACCAAAAGCTGAAATGCAATGTACAGTCGGTTTTGAACTTTTCTCAGTAGTTGAGCTTTGCAAAGCATGGTGGAAGAGTAGAATTGCGAATACTGATTTCATCATTTGTTCTCGGATTGATGTACGAAACGATTGCTTAGCGCGCACGGATATTTACTCTCGTGAGATGTTATGTTCTCATGGTTCTCCATACAATCCTAACATTTATTTTTCATATTTAAATCAACTGCTGGACAATTTATGTAAATGCGAACCTGGTGATTATTTGCTTGAGCGTTCTACAGACAACAAGAATTTACTTTTGCTTAAAAAAGATGATAAAGGTTTGATCACGTTAGATATGAAATATAGTGATAGGGTTTTAAAAAAAGATTTTTTTAAGGAACTAGAATTTCCATGGCTACCAATTGACTGTAACATAGGTAACCAGTTGATTGCAAACAAAGTAATACCTTGTTTGTTTCCACGATGCATTAAAAAACCTTCCAAAAAATCTAAACGATCAAGAAAATCAAAAGCACGAACAAGGACAAATATTCCTCTTACTTCATCATTAGCTAATGAAGTCGATACTTTTAATGAAGATCAAAATCGATTGAAACGATCAAGAAAATCTAGAACACAAAAAAGGACAAGTATTGCACCTATTTCTTCGACTTCGGCCAATGAAGTTGATTTTTTTAGTGAAGATGTTCCTCGTGCTTTAACGTTAAAAAAACGACAAAATATTACTAAACCATACATGAGTACGCACGAAGATATAATAGAGTTTTGAATTTAAAAAGTCAAACATGACCGCATATAAAACCTATTTCAGTCTTTTTTTAAACTGATCTTTTTATTATTAAAAAATTATTAATATTAAATAATATTAATAGAATACTTTCGTTATTATTATTTTTTTATGAACTGAAAAAAATGTAGGGCCTACAGTTAATGCCGCTCTGAGTTACGAAGTGTTTACCTGGTACGCTTAACTGTACAGTGACACCTACCTGACATTTTCTAAGAATAAATCAGTAAATTTATATCAGAAATGTAAACATTTATAATAATGTTATTTATAACATTTTTATTTTGTTTACATTAATAGATCAAATTAGATAATAAATAAAAATCAAAACCTTTTTGTTATAACTGATACTAAAAGGGATAATTTTTTTCGGATATATCCGGAATTCCGCATATTTCTTCCATAACGTTTTCCGTAATTACAAGTTTAAATAAATGTTTTGCAACATATGTTTTTAAACTTTTTAGGTCATTACCCATTCAAAAAAGAAAAAAAGTTTCAACAAAGTTGAGAAATCCATTAGTTAAAAGTTAAATTAAGACAAATATGAGAGTAAAAATTTCCGGATTTTTTTTTTTGCAAAAAATTTTCCGGATTTTTTAAAAATGATCTAGATGATCTCTGTACTGTAACTAAACTTTAAAACTAACTTTTAAACTAAGGTTTGTTAATTGTATGTTACATTACAAGTATCAACAAATTGTGAAAGTTACTTCTGGCCTATGTGTTATCTTGTCAGATGCCTCCTAATCAATATAAAAAAGCACATGACGGATTAGGCACAACAACTTAATCAGAACCTATTGGTGTTTACATTTAGGTCGCGACAAAAAAATATAAAATTTGATTGATTCAGGATATTGGCGGCCCAATATGAATAAAGATTTCGAGAATATGTTGCCATCGAGTTTCTAACTTTTGTATCCTGTACTCTAATCTAACCAAATTGCTTGATTTTTCTCTCAAAAAAAATAGCTTGTGGCTGTTTAATTATATTTATTATTATTATTTATTTCAGTGATCAAATACAATAATTCATTTATAATTTGGTGAAGAGGTGCTACACCAGCCCCCTCTATGCTGACGAACATGGAGATACAGACGCTACAGACAAAGCAGTAGTTGTATCGATAAAGTTACTTTCTTATGTTATTTTTGAAAGCGTTGATGGATTGAGCGTTCACTGCTTCTTGCGAAAGCGCATTCCATTGGGCGACAATTCTGTTTGAAAAAAAGTTATATTGCTCCTCACAGTTTTTTACCATCTGACGTTCTAGTTTATGGTTATGGCCTCTTAGAATATACTTATCTTTTCTTTTTGAAAATTTTTGCGGGACGACAAAACTGACAAGCTCGAGTTTACGAGTGATTTTGAATTGCTCGATAAGATCTGCTCTTTTGCGGCATTCTTCAAGAGTTGTTAAACTAAGCCGTTGGAGTCGATCTTCATAGGTGTTTAATAGTCGATATTGTTTTTGTTGCTCATTGTTGGACTTGCTCGAGAATGGCAATGTCTGATTTTAAATGCGGTGACCAGGCTTGTGCAGCAAACTCAAGATATGGGCGAATGTAAGTGAGATACAGAGTGCGCCATAAATAAAAACTGCGACTGCGAAATGTTTTTTTAAGTCGCCCTAGCATTCTATTTGCTACTGATGTGGATGACTCTATTTGCGGTCTGACTTTAAGATCATTCGAGGCCATCACACCAAGGTCTCTTTCGACTACGGTTTTTTCGAGAGGACGATGGGTGCCGTCGACGTTAGACATTAAGTATTCGTACGTCGACTTGTTACATCTGCCCGTTACATATTGGGTTTTTCTGTGAGTTTGGTGGTCGGCAAAGATTGACTTTGTGTGCTGTCAGCTGAAGTTGAAATGTCATATTTTTACAGTTCAATCTTTGTATTCTTTGTAATTTTTTGTAAAATGTGTTTTCTTTTTTGTAAAATGTGCATCAAAGAAAGGTTCATTCAAGAACATTAAAAAAACATGTAATGTTGCAAGAGATACTTTTCAAAGCAGCTAGAAAACAGCCGTTTGACATTAAAGAGCTTAAAGAACTGAGGTTTTACAAAAGTGATTTAGATGCATTTTGTTAAAAATATTTGCGGAAAATGCTTTCTAACTAACGTGAGTTTTACTGATGTTGTGACGTAATGACAAGTCTTACGAAATTGATATTGGTTTGATAAGTGACCAATTCCCAAGTGAACGATCAAAATGTACCCACATAGCACAATAGCCTCAGTAACTTAGTAAACTTTCGGTACTATTATATATATATATATATATATATATATATATATATATATATATATATATATATATATATATATATATATATATATATATATATATATATATATATATATATATATCTGTGTGTGTGTGTGTGTATTATATATATATGCGTGTGTGTGTGTGTGTGTGTGTGTGTGTGTGTATTATTAGATACTTTTGGTATCAAGTTTGGTCATGGATCAGGCACTATTCAGTTGTTATTCAGTGCTCACAAGACGTGTTTTAGACGTCTATAAAACGTATAAATTAGAGTAGAAATAATTAAGTTTTTTGTAAAAATAAATAAACGCAATTTGTATAATAATAATGTTTAGCATGGATGAACTAAACTATGATGGTGAAATATAAAAGTAGCAATTGGTTCTAAAATAGTATATGTTGAGTTACTATAAATATGACTTATCATTAGTTTTCTTTTTTGATGTTTAGCTTTTTCTTAACAAAAAATCACGTGCCTAGAAATTGATTTGAAATTAATTTGTTATGGTTGGGGCACAGTAAATAAGTTGGTTCACTGTACCTCGATTACACAAACTTTTCCCTGTTTTTCATCAATATACATCATTGGTCTAATTTTCAATGAATTTATATGTATGTATGTATGTATGTATGTATGTATGTATGTATGTATGTATGTATGTATGTATGTATGTTTGTATTTATGTATGTATGTATGTATGTATGTATGTATGTATGTATGTATGTATGTATGTATGTATGTATGTATGTATGTATGTATGTATGTATGTATGTATGTATGTATGTATGTATGTATGTATGTATGTATGTATGTATGTATGTATGTATCTATGTATCTATGTATCTATGTATGTATGTATGTATCTATGTATCTATGTATCTATGTATCTATGTATGTATGTATGTATCTATGTATTGTTTAGTTATGGCAAGAAAGATTTTAAAAGATTTTAAGTAAAACAAAAATACGCTTAAAATTAAAATACACTAAAAACAAACATAGCTTAAGTTAAAGTTAAATTTGCAACTACAAAAAATTTAAACAAAAAGTACGATTATTACAATAATGTTTGTACAATTAATTTAAATTACTTATAATAATCAGAGAATCATCTTTTTATAAATATTTTATAATTAATGTTGTTACTGTAGATTTAACAAAATGTGAGTCGCGGAAGTGTAATTCCATGACTTTAACAGCAGAGTAAAATACAAATAAAATTAGTAATAGAATTATTATAACAATAATAAATGATACGAATGATTTAATTTTTTAAGTTTTAAGTTTGTCTTTACCTTTTTAAATCGTTAGATATTAGGACACCTAAAACTGATTCCGAAAATGTTTTTAACACACACTGTGTTAAAAATAATTTTGGCTTAAAAGGCATTCTTAAATATTTTTGGCTTAAAGGCACTCTTTTTATTAAAATAAAAAGACAATCCAAAAAAATATATATGTAACAATAGTTTTAAATATTTATAGCATGTTTTTATTTAAGTTTGTTTTTATTTGTGCTATTCATGTTTGCTGTTGCTATTATTATTGCTATTAAGTGTTTTCATATTTTTGTCTTATTATTTAATTTGTTATAGCTTTCGTGTTATTATTATTATTAAATTGATTTAATTTACGCATGCTTTTATTTATTATTATTGCTGTTGATTTTTTTTTTCTTTGTTTGTTTTATTTATATATCTAGGAGAAATCTATTTCTGTAATGTTCAAATTTAAAAGTTATATTTAATAAAGTTTTATAAGATCTAATAAAATACAATATAATTTAAAGGTCCAAATTAATTATATAAAAACTATTGGTTAATTCCTATTTGAATCTAGTATGTTCAAAAGCAATCACATTATTATTAGGATGGTTCAAGAAGTCATTACGGTCTTATGACAGAGCACCTCAGAATAACATTTAACTAGGAAGCTCACGAAAGAAGAATAACTTTCTAAATTGAAACAACTTCTTAATTGGAACACTTAGATTTATTTTAAAAATGCAGCATCTTATACTTTAATGAGCAAACTACAAAAAATGGAAGTTTTTTTTAAAAATAGAGCTTTTCAAATAGCAGATTCCAGTTTCAAGTATCAAAATTTTGGCATCTAAACAGTTCATATAGAGGCGTATTATTGTTTTTATAGCGATGTATAGTTTCACTCTATAGAAACTTTTGTTTAGTAAAGTTAAGTAAAATATTTATTCCATAGTAGTTATGTGAATCATTAAGTGATTTTTTATATGACTAAACATATGGAATAACTATTTAATAACGAATAATAAAAATGCGGAAACATCTAAACATGTGGAATAACTACTTAATCAACTATTCAACTTGTTAAGTCTTATAAAAATCACTTAATGATCCACATAACTACCGTGGAATAAGTATTTCAACAATTGTTGAAGTTGATAGAGCTTTTGAGAGCCACAAAAGGTGATTGTTATAACAAGGTGTTCAGCATTTATCTCACAGCTATCTGGTGACTTATAACTCTTTAGCAGTGAGATGCTATTGTAATGTTAGCTGTTGTAATAACTAATGAATTAGGCTATTTATAATAATCGGTGTATTAAGTAGAATTTGAAAATGTTATCTTGTCATTGTCCCGAATGAAACGTGAAATGTTTCCGTAATTAAAACTTTCTTATTTTAAAACACTCCTCAATTTATTTTCACACAATTTATTTCATTGCTGAAGAAAAAGATCAGAAACATTTTCTTTTTTTTCAACAAATCATTAACTTAAATATTAAAATATGCAAACTTGAAAAAGACTGTTAAAAGAGAATTTAAATGAAACTTTTTATCAATTTAGTATTCCAAAAGCAATTTTATTTTAAAAGATACATAAATAAAAAAAAACTGTAGTGTGAAGTTTACATTACAGAGTTGCAAGTGTGAAGTTTACATAACAGAATTGAAGCAGAATTAGTTGATTATTTTATTTGTTTTTAAAATCAATGTACTTAGGATTGAGGATTAATAATTAAAGGTAACAACATTGCAAATAGTTTTGAGTAACAAACTCAAATGAAAAGAAAAAAGTAGAACTATACATTTATGTGAAAGCACCAACAATTCTTATGCTAGCCTGCTATCATAGGCGCCCAGAGGACTACTTGATGTTTCAGATATGACAGATATTGAAGCTTATGTGAAATGAAAATGTTTCGCAAAAACTTGAGGAGATAAAAGCCGGGAAGCAAAAATACCTCAAAACATGAGGGGAGCGAAGTTATAAAATATTCAATTTTATCGTCTATAAGCGGAAGTTCGTGTATCTAGGGCCACCCCACTTTATTTGAAATAAAGTTCTAAGTAATGCTTGGGCCACTCCACAAAGTAATGCTTCTCAATGAGGTGATTAGTTAAAAAATAGAGAGAATCAAAATAGGATTAAAAAATAAATTATTTTTATCAAACTTTACTAAAACTTTAAATCATAAAAGTTTTCCGATTATAACTTCTGCAAGATATAACCGGAAAACGCTTTTTGATGGTCCAACGTAAATTTTTATCGCTGGTATCTTAGATTGTTTTACAATACTAGAGGAAATGCTTTTTTATTATATTGTTTGTTACTCAATAACTAAATGCGATATTAAATAAGTTACCTCTCAATCAAGGTTCGCTAATAGATGATATTTTTCATGAGACTATCATTTCTTGTACCTAGGACCATATATTTTGCTTGTACCTAGGGTCATATGTAAGTAAAGAATTTGCTTAATGACGAGGTAGGTTGTGAAATTTGATTGGTGCAGATTTTTGTTTGGTGGTTGCTTTGGGACTAGCATTTTAGGCGTGTCTATCTTTGTTGTCAATTTATTATGGAGTTTAATTAACTTTTAATGCGGCCCTAGGTACAAAACTAGTGGCCCATAATACAATTAAAAAAAGTTTATTGTACCTAGAGCCACAAATTTTTAAACCCTTCTACATGACGGATTTTTATAGTTTAAGCAACTCTCCTTTATATAAAATTCAAATATTTTGAAAATTAACTATGTTGATTTTTAAAAAAAAGTTTGACCGCTACGTCAAGAGCATAAACATCTAGTAAAATATTGTTTCATTTCTAAGCACAAAACAGTTTCATAATTTCATAACAAACCCAAAAATGTCGAATAATACTAACATACAAAATAGAACTTCAAAAGCTCTTACTTCTGTATTCCTTTAATGTAAAAAACGTCACTTTTGCTTAAAAATTTATCTTTTTAAACTGCTACAAATTCGTTCTATTATTCACGTCAATTAATGACTCAATGTTATTTTTGTACGTGGTTTTTATTCTTCAAAATGTTTTTATAAAAGCATATCTTTTAAAACACATTTTTTATTTATTAAGCGTTGGTACTTCTTCAGTTTTAAATTTTTTTAGAGAGGCGTATCATTTGTTTCTAGCAAGTTCATCAAACTCATTGATATTTACAGAACTTCGTCTTACAAGTAAAAAAACGTCTCTAACGTTTTATTAAAATAACAGCTTCCCTTTTCTAAAGCAACATTCATTTTTTTTAAGACTAAGCAATTCACAAATGAGCGATAATTGATTAATTGCTCCAGATTATTCTCTCTACAACTTGTCCATATTTGAACTCCACTGAAATCCGCAGCGTTCTCTAACGATTCTAACACCGTATTTGTTCCATTCGTTTCTAGATATCCATAGCTCTTGTGCACTGTCCAAAATACTCAATACAGCTCCACCTTTCCAACAGGTATTTCGTGGATCACTTTCCTAAACAAAGATTTTAACTCTAAGGTACACTTTACATTCTCACAAAAGATAATATCTTAACAAGAAACATCGTAGAACTCTTAAAAAGCAATAAATAATAACTTTAATAAAGCAATAAATAATAACTTTAATAAAATAAATAATAAGCAATAAATAATAACTTTAATAAATATCGAACAAATAAGTTAAAATGAGTTTAAATGCTTCTACCGTATTATTCCTAAATATTACCTTTGGTCTAGCAATTACTTCCATTTGGTCCTTAACAAATTGATAATGAGCAGGGAGCTGAGCTTGTAGGCGTTTCAAAAGAAATTCATCGGCTCCTTTGAAACTCAAACCCCCTCCTATTAAAAGTACGGTTCCATACATCTTTCGTTTTGTTTCTAAGTTGCCTAAAAAAAATAAGATAACTTATCAGTAAATGCTATCTTATGAAAGAAAAATTAAACAGGTTTTGTTTGTTTTTGAGACCGATTTATTGTGAATAAAAATTTCTAATTGTTAGTAAAAATCTAATAAAAAATGTCGTCGGCTTACGCCCTATGTATGATTATCATATGATTATTCTTATGGTACATGACCAAAAAAGTCCAATTTATTTTGAGAATATGTATTTCTATAAAAAAAAAAAAAAAAAAAGTAAATAAATAAAAACCTAAAGTAAAATATTTGATTCGTTTCATTAAATTTGATTTATATAAAAAATTCAAATTTTTATATATAAAATCTTATTGAAAAGTCTTTGTCAAAAAAAAAAAATACATTTTCTCAATGCAAAATTATCTAAAAAATTGTTTGGATTTATTTATTAACATACTGCAACTTTCAATAGAGTACATAATGGCTTCATCCAAAGGCATGCCTTGATCTCTAATGGGATCTAAACGCAAATGCTCTTTCGGCAAACATGGTGGAGGTGTTATGCACTCTTGAATTTCCTCACCATCAATTTTTGATTTCTTTGCATCAATATCTCTTTTCTGTAAGAAAATTTCTTCATATATGTATTATTTTAATGTTTAATACTTTTGTAAAACTTACTTTTATAGGCTTTTACACAAGACAATAATCAATAATAATACTCAAAAAATTTTCATACTTTCCTTACTAAGCAATGTTACAAAAAAAGTAATCTAAAAGTTCTGTATTGCACTCACTTGTAATGCTACTGAAAGCTCTCACACGCAATGCTACTGAAAGCTCTCACACGTAATGCCACTGAAAGCTCTCACACGCAATGCTACTGAAAGCTCTCACACGTAATGCCACTGAAAGCTCTCACACATAATGCTACTTTGTAAAAAATAATCACCTCTAAAAGATATCTATCATCCATTAAATCCTCAGGATCATGATCAACATCTGAATAGGTCTCAATTAATCTACTACTAGTAATACCAAAAAGCGATGGAATGAACATACCCTATATAGCACATATATAATAAAGTCTCCATACAAAATTTTCAAAAAAAAATGTATACAATAAAAAGAATTTTATTTAAATATTTTTAAACAATGGCGAGCAACAAGCAGAAACTAAAAATTACTTGTTTAACCTTTAGTATAAAGGTTAGAACTTTGTTAAAAAAAAAATTACTTGTTTAACCTTTAGTATAAAGGTTAGAACTTTGTTAAAAAAAAAGATTTTTAATTTTATTTGAGCTTAGTTGATTTCTAAAATAAAAACGTATGCGTAACTTTTATAAAGTTTTTTTATAAATCAATAATATTTTATTCTTAAAAAAAATATAAATGAAAAACCTAATTTTAAAAAAAATGTCATCCCATAAGTAATCATAATTCAGGTTATTATTCTGGAATATGATTACTTATGATGTAATATATTTATTATCGTAAATTTATGATTATTTATGACATAATTACTTATCATAAATAATCATATTCTGGTTATTGTTTAGGCTATATATTCCAGTTTCTAAAGTCTGGTTTGCCATATCTTCATATTGTATTCTCTGTGCTGTACATTTTAATCCAATGGAGAAATTAGGAACAGTTATGCAGATAATAATTAAACAAACCATTAAATAATCATTAAAAATCTTATCACTCTTTATAACTCTCTATGACAATAAACTTGAAACAACACAGAATATCAATAACCTATTATTGGCAGAAATGAAAGATTTGATTATAAATCATGGATTTAATGATGGTTTTAAAACTTGCATGATTCACAGCTCATGTGCCATACTAAATCTAAATTCACCCTGCATGAAAAATGAGGTATGTAGCAAAAAATATCTTAAAAATTTAATGCTGTCACATTAGCAGTTCGCAACTTCTCTAAATTACAATATATGATTTTTGGTTTTATATCTTGCTACTAAGCATGATCATTGCACCCTTAAAGTTAAATTCTGCAAAATGAAAGAGCTATCATTTTATATAATAATAAGGAAATAGTAAGAATGTAAAAGTTATAAATCATCTTTTTTTAGATTACTTTAGCAAGCAAATGGAGTTTGTACTCTTAATACCATAGATGTTGAAACATTTTGTAAAGAGTTTCAAACGGTTTATAGCAAGATGATACTCAGTGGCAGAATACTGAGGCAGTTTTAACACATGCTAAAACAAATTATTATTACTCATTATTTTGACCTTTTGTGAACCTGAAAATCTTTTGAAACTATTAAATACAAAGCTTGCTGAACAAATAAGATTATTTATTTAAATATTTTTATATAAAGAATTATATAATACTAATTGTATTAAAAAATAAAGTATTGGGTATTAATACCAAACTTTGAAATACAAAGCTTGCTTAACAAGTTAATCTTTGTCAAGTTAAAAAGTTGATTAATCAAAGTGATAAAACGCTGATTGATCATAGACTACTTGTTGTTGATGATGAACTCATAGACTTAAATTTAGAAAACCCTAATGAAAATGTTTTAAAACCAAGTGAAGCCAATCAAATGAGACCGATCCTCAATGCCAACCAATTAGAGGCATGTAATGCTATTCTTTCTGCATTAAATGTGCAACCAAGAATAAAAAATTAACATTATTTTTTTTTTATGGAAGGACTAAAAAAAAAATTTAAATATAGTTACTTGATTGCTGAAAGCAGCAATTAGGGTTACAACCTGCTACAGCATCATGGACTGGCATTGTAGCAACTCCTCTAGAATTAAACTGCATGGTTTTTTCAAACTTCTTATCTCTATATTAGAAAACAGGACCATGTAATGCAATTTCTAACTATATACAAGAACTTTTTTTGAGGCAAATTAGTTGTATTTGCTTGATGATACATCCATGATATTCAAACATGCCTTAAACGCAATTATTTGATTGTTAAAATATGTTTGCAACCATGACTTTATATGAAGGGAAATTCATTTTTTTTGTTGGTGGGGACTTTGAACAAACACTATCTTGTATAAAAAGGTCAACTGAAATGGTTGACAGAAGACCTAAAAATTGAAGGTTGTATGAGTCAGGAAAACATGAAGATTGGAGAGAGTTCCAAAGCGTTAAAGTGTGGGCAAAATATTTGGAGCATGCAGGGACAGATACAGTAAAAGAATGAGACTTTGCTGAATGACAAGTCAAGCGAGATTGAATTTTAGTTGGTGGAACTAGAGATGATAGCTCCTTTAAGCAGCGACCATAATAGTATTTGTAGAAAAGAGAATGAGATAATAACATTCATTGGGGTAGATTCATTCAATGAAATCAATAAAAAAATAAAAAAGTTCAAGTTAATCAATGAAAAAATTCTTGAACTTCTTAAGTTTTTCTGGTATTTATTCAGGCATTTATTGCTCAAATTCAGTTGGCTCTAACAGGTTCTAATTTACCTTTTATTTTTAAACCTTATCCTGTCCAATTGGCATATTCAATGACAGCCAATAAAAGTTAATGTATTTTTGCTATAAAATAATGTCATAAAATATATTTATGTCATATTTCGCTATAAAATAATGTCATAAAATGAGTTATAAATAGTTAAACTTATATAATTTTTTTTTTAATTTTCTGTTTTGACAGGGTGTACTAGGATTACCTTTGACAGGTGCCTAACTGATATGAAAAAAAACTTCATAAATGGTGTTGTGTAATCTTTTTATGTTGTTAACAAAAGCCAAAAATATAAGTTTACTTTTTATTAAATATATATAAATTAAATTGTTATTATTTTAAATTATTATAAATTTCATAGCCTATTCATTGCTAAATCTAAATAAACCTTTATTTATATTTATTTATAAAAAAGCTTTATTTATATTTACTAATAATATTACTGGTTACTTCTAGTTATAATAAAAATCGGCAATAAAGTACTTGAAGCATTGCAACTTATAATAAAACTATTTTATATTTGTTATTAAATAGTTTAAATAGTAAAAAATAATTGTGGTCAAAAATTTAAAAACTCAAAGGTTAACTATACTAATGAAAATAAGAAATAAAATAAGAAAATATAGTAACAACTCAAATAAAGAAAACAGTTTTTGCATAACATATATTATAAACAGCATGATGCTTCTTAATTAAGTTTTTTTAAAATGAATTTTTTTAATAATAATTTTTATTGCAAATCTAAACTTAATAAAGAACTTACAACTGGAGCAATTAAAGGTTCATCTCCAAGTCTTAGCTTGTAGGTTTGTATGTTTTTGTCAGGAGTAACTACTTGAAACTCATGAACCTGACCTGATGGAAGTGCCTACATTAAATAAAGTTATATAAAATGAATGAAAAAAGATTTGTTTGTTTATTTTATTTTGTTAAAAATTGCCAATTACTTACCAATTCTAATTTAAAAATGTAAATTTAGAAATAACCTCAATAGTAAACTCACCTGGTAAGTTTTGTAGTTTTAGATTGTAAATAAAAAATTGAACAACAACAAAAAATAAAATTAAGTTGCAGCAGCAATATATAAAGACAAGCTGTGAGAAATTTAAATAAAAAATGTTTATAAAACTTTTAACTGGAACAATTTAAAGGTAAGGTATAGCTGCCTTTCAAACACCAAAATAAATTATCACTTCCCATAATAAAATATACTAATACTCTATATCTATTATGCAATTGTTGACAAACTACTTTATGCCCACTCAAAAGAAAAGCCCATAGAATATTTATACTTACACATGACAGCTCACTAAGTAGAGGTATATTATTACATTGGACTTACTAAAAAAACATTTACAAATAAATAGTATAAACTTAAAAATTCTTAACTTAGTGGAATTTGTATAGGAATGCAAAAGTAAATGTTTAGAGTCTATTTTAAACTATTTTCTTGGCCATGGAAGTGTCTGGCCAAGAAAACAGTTTAGCTTGACAGAATCTGTCCAGTTAAATAACAGTTTAGCTAATGCTTGACAGACTGTTAAACATGCATTACAAGATTTATTACCAAGTTTGAATGATTTCCTCGACCAAAAAAAGTTTAGGATAGGATCTAAACCTTTACTTTTGCATTCCAATACAAATTTCACAAAGAAAAGAATCTTTACATTTTTTATTCTAGATTGAATTTATTCTTTTTAAGGATAAATTCAATCCAGAATTAACAGTAAAAACAAACAACTTAAACAAATAACTTAAGCAAACAAAATTGTAAAATTTAATTAATTGAATTGTTTTTTTAGACCATACAAAAAACAAGGTGACCACCCACTTTACATTAATATTAATTTTAACCACCCTCCTAATATTATCAAATCCTTACCAACACTGTTATCCAAGCGTAATAACTTTACCTTTAATCCTTAAAAAGGATAAATTCAATCTAATCTTCCAAAAATCTCATCAATTTTATAAACACAAAAACAACTTAAAAGTAAGCTTGAGCTGTAGTAAAGTAAACTGTTTTCCTAACATCAAAAATATTATCACTGCCCACAATAAAACATCAAAATTATTATCACTGCCCACAATAAAAATTTTTTATCTGATACTAAAGCCTTAATTAACCAACAATGCAATTGCTAAAAAATTTCACAATGTCCTTTAAAAGAAAAATGCCTCTGAAAAAATATATTATACAACTGTAACATAAAAACTTCACCACAAGATAGCAGATTCAATTATATTGTATTAACAGTGAATACTTTTAAAGACCATTGACACAAACACAGAAACTCATTCCAATACGAGTGCAAAGCAAATTCAACAGAGCTTTCCAAATTTATATGGGAAATTAAAAAAAATAGATATTCAAATCCTATTATAACATTGAAAATTATTGATAAAGCCCAACCATTTAAACCCAACAGAAAATTATGCAGCCTTTGCTGAACTAAAAAGAACCACATAATAACATCAAAATTGAAACTATTACACAAAAGAAATAAACTAGTATCAAAATTTCACCAAAAAATATTTTTTATAAACAATTTTAAACAGACACTGCATACTATTTTTGTAATTAATTTGTTTGTTGTTAAGAATATTTGTAACATCTGATGATCGCCATAGGCATGAAACTCTGAGTCATCGGAGTCATGTTTCTTTAACTACCTGGTGTTATTATTTAAATTAACATTAAAAAAACGTTGGAGCCTAACAAAATTTAAACAACAGTTCTATTGCGTTATCAATACATTTACTTCAGAAATCCAAGGTAACTCAAAAAGTTCGTCACTAATATATTTAATTCTAATAAATCTTATTACTCACTAAAGAAAGATGACAAAATGTTTCTTTAAGTTCTTGAAGTAACTGCAGATCAAACATGTTGTTTACATCAAGCGATTTGTAAGGAAAATTTATCTAAAAGAGAGAATCTAAAAATAATAAAAAATGCAGATGCAATGAATAATAAATTAACATCAATTAAAAAATAAAAGAAATTTAATACATTTTTTGATATTTTAAATTTTTTAACAACCTTTTTGCTTATTTGTCAGATAACACTTGTGAAAACTTACATTTAAGGTATATACAATGAAACAAATTATAGAAACCAAAAATATTAAAGCAAGTGACTGTGCAGTTCTAGCTTTTAAAAATTATCATTGTTTAATTTCATCATCTATGTAGGAATAGCATTGGTAGTAGGAAAAAAAACTTAATTATATATTAAAGACGTTGAATTAGTACACAATTGTATAAAATTTGTAGATAAAAAAGAAAAGCTATTACTATCACTAATAAATAGCTACAATCAGTTCATAACTTACAGATTTTAAAAGCCAGTAGAATGTTCTAGTTATGTCATTTCCACCATAGTTTAACTGAATTCTACAGAAAAAAAATCTCTTTAGATCTATAATAAATGTTTTTGTAGTAAAATATTAAATTCACCATGATAACAATAACTCAACTATTTTATAGTATTTAACTATGACAACATACAAGTTTATGTATTGTATCTATAGATACTAACAAATAAAAAAATAGGGAAATTATTATAAACCATAGAGATTTATAATTTTTGACTTTAACTTTTTTTTTTATTGTTTTATTACAACTCATTATTTTTATTGAATTTTATAGTAAAATTTACAGCAATAAAATTAATAGTTTTTTAGTTATTAATGACACATATTATATAACTCCATTTCATTTTTTATACATTTTTTTGACTATTATTTTTTGGTCTACAGACTTTGACTGCTTTACTGCTTATTTGCTATTTGTGAAGATTTAATCTTTTTTTTTTAATGCCATTCACCTCCGCAAGGCAAAGAGGGCCACAACATTCGAGGAGGCTACTTTTATGTGGTTACCACAATCTCTCAAGTCTTTATCTCTGAAACACAAACCTTGACAAACAAAGTCGCTGGGTGGAGAAACAAGTTGAGCGCAGTACTACCAGGGATTTGTTAGAGATAGAACTTGGAACTTGTGAGCTCTCTACCACTATCAATTTTAAACCAAAGATTTGATCTTGGACAAAATGTTGCAAAATGTTTTTATACATCTTGCTTATAAAACCTGATTTTTAAATATCGCTTTTATTTTTGAAAGGAAATAAAGATTAAAGAAGAATAAGCATGTGTATTAATTAAAAGAATAAATATGTAAATATACCTAAATCATACCTTGAGCTAGAAACCGATATTCCATCTTCAACACAACATATAGTAGTTTTTTCAGCTCCAACATCAACAACACATGCAGAAGGTAAACCACTACCAAATGTGCCACACACAGATTCCTAAATAAAATTTAATTTAATAAAAAAAAGAAGAGTTGAGATATTAAAAATAATAACTATTTAGGCAAATCAAACAACTTTCTTAGCTACAATTTCATAAATTTATAAAGTAATCAATGAAATGGATTCACATAGATAAATGAATAACAATACAGGATTAAATAGATCTCTAACTAACTGGCTACAATATTTAGTCTGTGTAAGCTTGCATATTCCATAGCTTGCATTTCATAGCCTATTTAATTATAGCCATTTCTTAACATCAACTAACGCACAGATTACTATTTAGCATGCACAAGCCCTGATTACTATATAAATCATGCAATGGCTCTGCATAAGCCACACAGTTTTATTTCCAGTCCCAAAATTGTTGCATTTTCTAAATTTCATTTTCATCGTTAACTAAGTTGGGTATCACTGATAAAATTTATAATAAAAAAAATTTAAAATTAATTTTTGTAAACAAGTTAAAGGACACATGAAATAAAGTTATACCTGGTGTACAAGTATGCACGAAAACTTTAGGCGATTGAGAATAACATCAATAAGCAATTTAGCATGACTTTTGTTCATCATATCTGGTAACAATAAAACAGCACGATAATAAGACAGATCTTTTAATGGAATATCCAAATACTTCTCAATGGCTTTTCCCCATAATGTTTCAAGATCCGTTAAAATAGATGAGATTGAACCACCAATACCACTATGAGTGTTAAGCTCTCCAAATCTCATAGGCCATCTACAACTGTATGGCGAATTAGGAGGAAGTTTTAATACCTATGTAAAAAAAAAAGAAACACTTTATTTGATATGGCTAAAATCGGGACCATTTAGCATAAGCTTTTAAATTAGTGCCATGCAACTTTGCACATAGTCTGCGTTCTTATTTACTAATTATGCATGTTATATATTTTATAATTTTATAACTTATCAATTGTATTTTTATTTTTATTTTTTAATTTTTATACTTTTACCTTTTACAGATTTTCATACCAATATACATAAAAATTAAAAAGTTATTTTTAATTTGCTTTCATCTTCTTTAGAAAATTTTCACATTCAATATAAAAATAGTAAAAATAAACAACTTAACTTCAGGGTTAGGAAATGCTGTTGCAATCAATCTTTTGTGTCAAAAGATTTTAAGTTATACAAAATAAGTGCTGGACATCAGCATTCCTATGATAGACATGAAGGCCATCTTTGGGTGGCAAAGAATAGAAGAACTATACTCCTACTGTTCCTATTAAACTGGAATAAATCTAAAGAAATCTTTTGTTGTTTCTGACATGGTATGTTGAACACTTTTTAATAAAAGTTATTGATCTTTACTTGTAGACTTTTTTAAATGGCTGCAGCACTATGTTATTTGTTTGTCAATGTACAGCTCTAAGACTTGTAGTTTAGAGGAGAAATGATAGTACTCTCAATTCCTTAATATTTGGGGGAGGGGGGGCGCATTTCATTAATTTTCGGAAAATTTTCCCACCCATCTTAAGCTTATTTAGACCCCCCTTCCCCCGTTTGTTAATTTTTACTTGCTGTCAACAAAAAATTTATGTCTCAAAACTGAAAAAAAAGTTCAGTGAATATCGCTTTTAAAAATTTGAAAATAATTATTTTAGTTGGCGATAAAAACGAAAAATTTCAGCTTTTAAAATTGTCAACCTAGTAAATCTCAAATTTGTTGAAAATGAGTTTTTGGTTTATTTCTTACCAAACTTATCTTTACTTTTAGCCTTAGTTTTAATAGTTTCCACTATTAAAACTGAAGCTAAATGTAAAGATTTGAAGAGATTTGGTTGCGAACGAAAATTTTTTGAAAAAAAATAAATGGAGAATTAAGGAGAAGACAGTTACATTAGAAACAGAATTTTATTTTTTTCAATAAATTTCAATAACTTAATATATTACTTTACATATATATAAATATAAATAAAATATATATAATAGAAATATAGGCCTGCAAACTATCAAAGAATATATTTTCTTTTTAATTAATAAGTATAATCCTTCACTTTAATAAAACTTCCTAGATGCATAAAAAAGGAGAAACTTTTTTTTAAGGTTATTTAAGGACTTTTAATAAGGATTCTTTTTTTAAGGATAATTAAGATTTTTAAGGAGAAATGGGAACCCTGTATAAACATATTAAACCCTTATGAAATTATGATAAACAGCTGTTAGAAAATGCCTATTTGATGGCAAGCCATGCTAAAATTAAATAGTTTTATGAGTGTTTTATAAAAAATATTAGTTTGGATTTATAAAATGAAGTTTTTTATAAAATATACTTATATTGTAACATGGCGTCAAATCGGAAGTTTTAACAAACTGACCAAGATAAATATAGTTTAGAAGAATAAAAAACTTTAGGCATTGTGTTTTTTAGTCTTTTATCTTTATTTTTCTTTTATTCAGTTTTAGTATTTTTATATTTTATGTATGAAAGAAAAAATCCTCCCCCCCCCCTTTTATTAAAACCCCACCATTTATTAGATCTAAACTAAAATTCGACTAAATTATTTTCTTTTCATGTTTTCTTTCGGTGGTATGGTAAGTGGTTTACTTAGTTATTTTTATTTTTGTTTGTTTAGTAGAGTAATATTTTCTGTAAACTCTGTTATTTTAGATAGTTAATTCATGATTATCATAAATAAGTATTAACCTGCCTGTTCACCAATAAGTGAATCAAAGCTGTCATCATTTGTATCAGTCCATGATACAGATCCATCATTTTCAGTTTCAACTGGTACTACTTGCGCATTATAAGCTGCAACCTAAAAGTGATAACAAGGTAATAAATAAAATAAATTATAAACTACTTATATAAAGCAGTATAAGAACACCTTGTTTAAAAAACAAACTTTTTGAATTAAACAGCTTTTTTTTTTTATTAAAATTTTATCCTGAAGCATTTTTTTATTTAAATTTAAGAATACAAATAAGATTATATCATTTATATCATTGAACTGCCCATTATAAAGCTTTCATTACAACATTTATGATATGTTGAGCAATATATATTATATCTACATAATTTATTATATTAATTAAATATAAATAATTGTGTTACAGCAGACAATTGACAAAAAAATGATAAACCTCAGAAGATGTTGTCTTGTGTTTTCTTAAACCTCCACTAATTCTCATAGTATTGATGAAGCTCTTAGTTGCTTGAAAACCTTTAAGATGTGTCTCTTCACTAATTTTACCCTGTTAAAATGACAGCAGAAAAATTATAGAAAATAGAAAAAAACCATTATTTTAAAAAATTTTATACAATTAAAAATAACACTTTTTTGTATCATAAGATAGTATTACTAATAGAATATTATATAATTAAATAAATTAATTAATATTAATGTTTAAAATTTAAAGCATATTGTGCCTTACAAGTGTTCCATTACGTGACAAAAAATTACAGCTAGGCTCCGTTTTAACTACATTTCTGATCTTTCTAGCAATAACATGAGGTAAAGATTGAGGAAAATGATCTGTGGCACGTCCAAGTCGAAGAGTCATTGAGCCAGGGTGTAACACAACAATTGTCGTGCCTTGAATAGGCTTTAAAAATGAAAAAAAAAAAAAAAAAAACTAGTGAGAAAAATTTACACACAAAATTTTTTAATAATTTTACTCCATCACCAAAAGGTATACCTCACTAACAGGTTCTGTTGTGACAGGCCTTTCAGTCTTCACAGGTCGTGGCATTTCAAAATGTTTTTAACAATACATTTAATAAAATATCTAGAACTCAATGCTTAAAAATGTTCAGTCATTTAAAAAAAAGCTTTTACTAACAAATAAAAAAAAAATTATAATTTATAAATATGTATATATATATATATATATATATATATATATATATATATATATATATATATATATATATATATATATATATATATATAAATATATATATATGTATATATATATATATATATATATATATATATATATATATATATATATATATATATATATATATATATATATATATAAAGGTTGGGTTAACTTACTGTTTTTCTATCTTGAATTAAAAAAGATTGGAACAAGCTACAAAGTTGATTTTTTTTTTATTGATTGCTTATTAATTCTAGAACAAAAATAAAGAAAGAATTAAATTTCTTCAATACAATAAAATTTTCTAATTTTTCCCCTGATGGGAGTCATAAGATTTTGCACTAGGTGAGATCCATACTCTGTGGTGGTTTCCACTTCTTCTTAAAGTCAGTACTTGATTTTGCTTGCCTAAACTTCTTATGTAATTTGGCTTTAATAACCAACCAATACTGCTCAATTGGACAAAGTTCAGGACAATTTGCAAGATTGTGTGTTCAAAGTATGAAATCGATAGTATCAGCATTGCAGAAGTTTAACATGGATTCGGAGTAATGACAAGACGCTAGGTCAGGTCAAAATATTGCATTACCATCGTAGGTGTTCCACAGTGGCAATAAGCGCTTTTTAAGGCACTCTTTTTGATAGATATCACTATTTATTGTGGAGTTAGTGACGAAACTTTGTGTTTTTAATCCAGATTGATATATGGCTTGCCAAACCATAATTTTTTGGGGGATATTTTTAGTTTTATTGTTTTAAATTTAGCCTTTACCTTTTTCCTTGAGACTCCCATATAAAAATGATGTCCTGGAATCATTTTGAAATTTAATTTCACATAATTTTCATCATCCATAATTATATATATTTTTTCTATACAATAATTTGTATAATTTTCCTGCACAACTTTTTGCCACTTAATTTTCTACAACATTGCGATCTGGGGCTTTATACATCTTGAAGGATTTGAACTTATGCTTTTTATTGATAGTCCGAACCATTTGTCTGCTAGTTTTGCATTTTAGTACCAAATCTCTCTCAGAAATGTTAGCATTTGCCCTTATTTTTGCCAAAACATTCGTCTTCAGTTTTTTCTTAATGTTCAAGTTGTTGCCGCTTCCAGGCTTTCTATTTATTGTATTGAGTGTCAAATACTTATTTAAAGTTTTAATCAAAGTGCTTTTAGAACATTTAACAGTTTTTACTATCGATTTGAGAGGCAAATTAGGATTTTCCATTCGAGCGTGCAAAATTGCATCACCCACTTTTTGCTGTTTTGTTGCCATTTTGAATAATAATAAAAATTTTCTAAAAAAAAATATTTTAACTGAAATACTAATACAAAGATAATTGTTTTCCTGTATGATAACATTCTGTATGATTTTTTTAGCGTCCTAATTATAAGGAATAAAAAGTGTCAATTTTACTTAACCCAACCTTTATATATTTTTATTATTATAAATTGTAACTATAATAAAAAAAACCTTATAAATAGATAATGACTTCCTTAAGTTGTTTAAGAGAAAGATCAATTCTTCGAAAAATAATCTCAAAGTTAAAAAAAAAAAAGAAAAAAAAAATTAACAGGTTTGCTCATTTTCAATACATTTTCTTTAACATTTTTAAAAAAATACTAAAATTAAATAATTACATGTTTTAAAAATGATTCTCATAAAAATTGATTAATAATTTTAGTAAAAAAAATATAAAACTTATCATATGACAAATTCATTTTAAATTTTATTATTTTTCTTATTCTATTAAAATAGTCCTTACAATCTTTATTGACAATTGTAGATTCTTTAGATCATAACCCAGGTAACTAACAAAAAAACAGCAAAATTTTGCATTTATGCCAAGCAGTAAAAAATAAAATTACAAATAGAAAAATCTACTTGCCTACAAATTTAGAAATTTTAAGTATAACTTTCATTTTGTAGGAGAACTCATATTGCAAGAACGTAACTCTTTAGCTTGCTTGTAAAGCAAAGATAGAGCTTCACTATTTAATTTATTTGTGTTACTGCTTGACACTTTATGATCATGCTTTTTAATAAATATTTTTATTGAAGGGATTTTCCTTGAAACTTCGATTGAGTCAAGGCGCTCATCAGATTTTGGTATCCAAACATTTTTATGTTCTGTAAAATAAATTTCAATATTTTGCTCAATTTGTGAAAAACTTGATTTTAAATCTTCTGCTATGTTAACAGCTTTTGTCACTAATGAACCTTGTGCTAAAATGGTAACTTGGTTCCAGTTCTCTAAGGTCTTGGTACATGTTCTGAGAATATGATTATATCTACTATGGGGATCAATTTCAACTTCATGTTCCATTAAATTTGCTTTTATATTTTTTGTATTATTTACTTGAAGAACATAATGCTCCATTGCTTTTTTATTTGTTAAAATATAAAATCTCAAAACTTATCAAAATTTATATTTAAATGAAAATATAAAATCTCAAAATTTATCAAAATTTATATTTAAATGAAATCAAAATGCTAAAATATATTTTAAAAGCAATACAACATCATAAATTATAATATATGTAAAAAAAAAATACAATTTTCAAAAATTAATATTTTTAACCAACAAAAACCAAAATAGGTTATACGATTCTAGCTGATTAAGGTCTAAAACGTAACACTACAGATTTTGATAAGACTTTTTGAGTTTGTTTATATCACTGAAATATCATCATGTGTCAATAAAAAACTCATAAAATAATGTTAAAAAAGCAACTATCTTATAGTTTTAATAAATTTCTTTGTAAATATTGCTAGCTTTTAGACACAATTTTACTACCAAATAATATGCTAACTTTTGAGTGTTCAGCTTGAATACAATATTTAACTATACTCATTAAAATATTTTTCACTTTTTTATTAGTTAATGGTGTATATTTAATTTTATACTTTAGCATTAAATGAAGAAAAATACCCTTAACTCAAACTAATACCTCATATCAGCTAAAGTTCGACTTAATAGGAATTCACTTTAGTTAAGCATTCAATAAGTCAAATCATTTTTATTGATCCCTTAGAGGTTTGAGTTATGGTAAATTAGCTGTATTTATTAATATTTTCTAAAAATATTACAATCACATTTCAACAACTATGAAGTTTACAGTTTGCTTTGCCAGGGCTTCTTACTTAGTCGATGTAATACAATTGTATATCTTAATTACAACTACTGTAATTAACCAAGCAACTGTTTTGTTAAATCAACAGTTATTTTTAGTATTATTTTTATATTAATTTAGTATTGATTATATAAAATGGATTTTGTATTCTTACATTGCTTTTTTTAAATAATAATATTAAAACAGCTTATGAAAAAAAACTTTTCAAATTCCAATTAAGACAGAAGCCATTATTTGAAAAGTTTACACTTGATAATTACTTACTGAATTGTATCAAATGTTAAGAATTTCATCTAAACGTTGTAAATGTTTGTTTTAAAAACAGAGTTTCAAAGTACCAACAAAATTGTTTTGGGTATTGGAAAGTTGGATTTTTAGAAAACTTTGACTTTAAAGTTTCTTAAAACTTTAATATTTCTTAAAAACCACAGCATTTTTTAAAATAAAGTCAACACAATTTTCTTATTTCATTCACATAAAGACAAACAACAAGTTTCATAAAAATTTGAGACAATTTAAGCTAATGACACCAAAAATTGATTTGACATCAAAAAGACTAGAATACAGTATATAGATAAATTTATCAAAAAGATTTATAATATATTTTTATAATACTCAAATAAACAGAATAAATTAATAATATAAATATGTTTAAAAAATGTATCAAATAATATTTCAAATAATTTTTTATTTACAATAACTTCAAATAAATAACTACATTTAATATTTTGTACAAATGAGCTTAAAAATGAATGTATGAGTGTACAAATATGTAAGTGGATATATATTCAAATATAGAATTTTTAAGCAGACAGTATTTACATTTGTTTGACAAAAATAAAAGGCCATAACAATATTCATTATTTTTTTTTCAACAGATAAAATAAAAGTTATTTATAACAATATTTTCTTTTTCATGTTTCTTGAAATTTGGGGTCAAAACTAGAAACTGTCAAAAGCACTCAAAATGCCAATGTTAACCTACTACCTTATGAAATATATACAAACATTTATTTTCAATACTAGATTTTTTTCTATATTTTAATTATATCTTTTAATAAGTTATTTGAGGTGTACTTAGTAAACTTGCTAATTAATCCGTCTATTCCAGATTCAACTGCTATATCATAGGGAGTTTTTCCTTTTTTATTTTTCAGATCTGGAGAAGCTTTGTTTAGAAGTAATATTTCGACAGAATCTTGGCCGGAAATTCCCATGCTAACAGATTCATGAAGGGCACTATTTTCTTTAGGGCCGGAAAGTTGGTCTATATTTGCACCAGCATCAATGAGAAACTGAATCAAATTAAACTTTTTATTTAAAACACACAGCTTCAATAATGGAATGCCATTTTCATCAACAGAATTTGGATCAAAGTTAACAGACCTTATAAGTTCTTCAAATTTAGTTTCATCTGCATTATTACTAGAAGTTATTAACTTTAGTGCTGATAAACTCTCTGGAGATAGTTTTCCTAATTTTACTGCTGTTCGTTCTGCATCAATCAATTTTTTAGTCAATTTTTTTTCTTGAGGATCTAAAGTTGATTTCATCTTAGCAGAACTTGGTCGAGATATAGATAGTCGCGGCGAAGACTTTTGTGATGATTGAGGGTGAAGTTTTTCTTTTGAACTTCCAGCAATTGCATTTTTTAGTGTTTGAACTGAGGAGTCTTCTTTAATGTTTGATTTGTTTTTATTATCTTTTTCATCTTTAAAACCAAACTTAAGCTCAAATAATAATGTTTCCTCCTCATTATTCTGTTTAACACTAGCTGAGTGCAAACTTGACAAAACAAAATTTTTAAAAGAGTCTCTAAATGCAATATTATTTTGAGTATAAACTTTAAGCTGCTGGATAATGTGGTCAAGCTGTTGTCTCCAGTAACCATTGCCGGGACTGGTTTTCTCAGCATTTTTAGAAATTTTAACATCTTTTAAAAGACCTTCACCTGCTTGAGTAAACGTAGTTCGAATCTTTTTTTTTAAGATCTTTTCCACAGGAATATCACACCAATTATTAGAATTATCTGCAGTGTTTATTGTTGAAATTATGTCTGCATTGCTTTCAGAATTACCTTTGATTTTGATATCTCCATTTTTTATTTTGTCATCAAAACTCTTACGAATAGGTGTTGTTATCAAACTTTTGCATGAAGTGCAATTTGTTTCATATGCATCAGTTAAATTAAAGCAATTATCACATCTAACAGTAAAAGAATTTGTATGAGGCTTAGCACCACACCAATCACAGTATCTTGCATCAGCACTGTTGATTCTTTTACACAATGGACAAATAACAAACTCATACTCAGGTGGTTTAGGAGCTTTTTCAGTTTCTTTTTCAGTTTCTGCTGGTGTATTTAGACTTTCATCGCAAACAACACATTCTTTAGCCTGCACAGAATTAGTAGCCTTGCAGTTGGTGCAAACAACTGTTGATTGGGTAGACACCTTTGCATGGAATAGCACATTTTCACCACAAATATTACAAAACCTGGAACCATAAGGTATATCAGCTGAACATTTAGAACAATAGTCTGAATTATTTTCAGAATTTGAATTTAAGATTTTATTTATTGCTTTATTTAAAGGAGTATTACACGCATTACAAAATTTAGCATCAAAATTATTTACTTTTTGGCATAAAGTGCAACACACTAACTGAGTCTGAGAGGCAATGGAGGTTTTTGGAGAATTCACTTTATCCAATTTTTGATCACAAACAATACATTCGTGGTTATTTTTATTATTAGTTGATCCACAACTTATGCAAATAATAGTTTTTTTGGGAGGTAATTTACCAAAAAGATTTTTTTCAGATGATTTAGTAATATCACTTGGAATTAAAGACACGCCACAGCTATTGCAAAATTTTGAATCACTATCAATAGTTGTACCACAAATTCCACAAAACTCAGAAACATTAAACTTTTTGTTAAAAATTCCGGGAATGGGTGGCAAAAATGAACTACACCCTATGCAAAATCGAGCAAAAAGATCTGATCTGCGTTTACCACATTGAAAGCAATGCATTAAATCCTGAACATTTACTAGTTGAGAAGTAGATTTTATATCAGAAGATAACACCTCCTCATTAGATATATTTTCAGGAGATACTGGATCAGAAGATATCAATACTTTTTGTATAATATCAGACACAAGACGTTCCGAGTTTTTTTCTTTTTTTTTATCAGGGTTTTGTTTAATAACTTTTTTAAACAATTTTTGTGAAGGATCAACTTTTTCATCATCTTGTACTTTCCATGTAGTTTTAGTCAGTTCACTCGCTTCACTTTCCTCGTTACAAGCAGCTACTTGAAAAACTTTAGTGTTTACAGAACTTTCCCTACTTCCATCTTTTAGAACAGCTATGGCTTTCAACGTTTGTTTGCCTGGAGGCAAAGTAAATGGTTTCTGATATTGATATGTGCTAACATGACCAATTTTTTTTAATGGGTCAGGCTTTGTTCCATCTAAAGTGTAAAATAATATACAATCCAACATATTTGAGTGCAACTCAACTGGTGTACTAGTATCAATAACTCCTTTTCTGGCTCCATTAACCAATTTGCTTTTTGCTATTAGTGGAATAATAGTAGGAACAGGTATCAGCCCAGCTGCCATTTTGAAAATATTTGATAAATGTTTGTTTTTACTTTTTATTTTTACTTTTAATTTCCAGTTGATGATTTTTTTAAGTTTTTTTACAACCCTAAATTCTTAACACATAAAATTTAAATAAATTCTATGGTATAATTTCTGAACATAAAAATACCAATTAACAAATAATATTAAAACTATTTTGATAAACAATGTAATTAAAATTGATCTATTTTTCTATCATTATTGCTATTATTATTATTACTATTACTATTGTTATTATTGCTATTATTATTATTATTATTATTATTATTATTATTATTATTATTATTATTATTATTGCTATTATTATTATTATTATTATTATTATTATTATTATTATTATTATTATTATTATTATTATTATTATTATTATTATTATTATTACTACTAAAGATAACATCATTTAGGATTTTTAATTTTAATAATATCAAATACTTTGATGCACTTTTTACATACTTAGAAGTACCAAATATTGTGTTAAAATAGGTCAACATTAAAAGACCTTTTTTTATTTGTAATATTCTAAAAAGAAGCCATAGACAATACCTTTCAGAACTAATTACTATAAATTTTTTTGTTTAACTTAGCTGCATATTGGTTAAAAACGCTAAAAATAAAAATAAATAAACTATTCTTTTTATTTTCAGCCAAACAAAATATTTTGATTTAACCGAAAATTGTTCATAAAAATGAAGCTGCCTTGTGATTTTAAGTTCTTTTACTTCCTACTATATTAAAAAATCAAAAATTTCCTTAAATATAGAACACTAAATAAATACTTTATGTAAAAAAAAAAAGATAATTTTATTTAAAAGATACTTAATTATATTTTATAAAATTACTCAATATTAGAATAAAGCTACCATGTTTGTTTTTGTATCCATGTAAATTTTCATGGATTATTTATTGACAAATACAGCACATTCATTTCAAAATAAAGTATTTAACATATACAAATACTTATTTGGATATATTAAATATTGTGGATTACATGCCGTTAGTTTAATTGCTTTATTGTTATCTTTTCTTTTACATGGAGCCGTCTTTTGCTTTAACTGCCCTCCCAGCATTTCTAGAAAACTGGCCGTAGGGTGCATAACGCACCTAGAAAACCTAGTTGAAAATAGTACAAAAACTATTTTATCAACTTGTTGCTCTCAGGTTTAGGTCAGTGTCGGCCAAATTTTTTGGGTTTTTTTGTTCCCAAGCTCCAATCATCGTAATTTTTTGCAAAGCATCCTTATTTGTTATAAGAATAAACATATAAATGTTTGGAGTTTGCTCCATGTCTGGAAGTTAGCTATCTCAAAGACCAAAAAATGCTGGCGCCGCCACTGAGTCAACCTGTAATTGCCTAAATTGAACCTTTAGTAGGCGAATGTCAAATATCGAGGACCTTTTTTTTTTTTTTAACGGTTAATAACTGATCCGTCAACCCCTAAGTAAACGACCTAGAAAAATGCATAATTAAATTTAACAAGCAATTTTTCTGTATTGTTGTCTACTTTTTTTTGACTCAATTTAGCAAAGTACCTTTAAAGCACTTTTCAACGCTTGAAAAAAAGTTCTCAATATTTAAAAAAAAAGGTCCTTTAGAAAAAAAGCAGGGGGAACATGCCCCTGGCCCCTTTGGTGTCGTCGGCTCTAATAAGATTGTGTCCAATTTTAAAATAATTTTTAAGGCTGTATGGTTTTTTATGAAAAGTTAAGATTTACCTTAATTTTTCATAAAGAACCATACATACAGTCTCTTCATTACTTCATCAGCAATAACCTTGATAAAGTCTTACAGATGTTAGTTGATAAGTATGAAGTATCCTTTTCCTTGTTGCCACGGATCTAAAAGTGCTCTGCTATAGAATACGTTTTCTTTGGATAGAAGTTAAAGCGTAACCAGATAATTTCCCCATTGTTTTAAATTAATCTGCTCATTTTCGTCAAGAAACGACAGACCACTGTAAGTTGGTCTTACCAAAGAGATACTTTTTAATATCATTTTTTTCAATAAATCAATGTCATAACGTTATAAAGTAAATTTGGTTTTTGTTGTAAAAAACACTTGGAGTACTGCAACGTGCTTTTGATATTACTAGAAAGAAAACGCAATTAAAAATATATTCTACCTTATCAAAAAAAAGTTAAACGCATTACGTCACGCACTGTCTATCTCTCCATTAATTTAAATTCGATACAAGTGCTTCACACTAGCTTGTCAATTTCTTCCGCCACTGAAACAACACAGTGAGTTAAATAAATTTAGTTCTTCTTGTTTTAACTTTAGAGGATTTCGAATATGGTCTCAATCAAGTTATTGATTTTGTATAAATCAAGTCACATTCGATTTTAGTGTGCTGGGTCAAAAAAAAATGGTAGGACTAGCAGAAGTTTTTTTCTTGTTAGAAAACCCTTCCTAACTCTTAACAGTTTTAGGTCGAGCTGTTTAACTGATTACACTTCCGTTTTTAGCAGTGACGAGAATCTCTGGTGTCTTTGGAGCCTAAATCAATCCATCATGGGCGGATAATCAAGAGGAGGGAGGACAAATGTCAAAAGTATTAAAAAATTTTTTTTGATCTTTTTTTTAAAAAAAAAAATTTAATTTAGGTGCCCCAAGAAGTCCTTACGGTCTTATCGCAGAGCACCTCGGATGAGCATTTAATTGGAAGTCAACGCCTCCTTCCTAACCGATGTTGCAAAACTTGCCCAGAGGTGGGGTTTGAACCACGGATCCTTTGTTTCTAAGCAAGTGCGCTACCTTTAAGTTTGTAAGAAAAGTAACATTAAATTTTTTTAAGTTTTACACTGTTACTTTTTTGTTTATAAATTAAAAAAAAAAGGTTATTTAGCTCACATTGTACTCTGCTGGAGCCACTCTGCTGGAGCAATAATCTTGTTAATCTTGTCATTAAAACACATCTAGTAAAGCTTTTTTTCCGGGTTTTTTTGCAGTTTAGTTTGAAATGTTTTCCACTATCCCTAAAGCCATGGTTTAAACCACATATTTGACACATTGTGCTAAAATAAGTCATCTTTTCAAGCTTCTACATAACTAACTGAAGCTTTAATTAAAGAAAATGGACAAGTCTAATACAAAGTATAATAGTGATAGAGTTAAATTTTCTACAAAACGTCATCAAAAACGTAAATGTACATTTTCTGGTTTAAGAAAGCAAGCAAAATATGTAAATATTGGTGTAAATAATGTAAATAGTAATGATGTAAATATGGTAAATTCTATAAATATTGAAAGTGAAAGTGTATTTGAAAGTGCATCAAAAAATAAAGTGAAGCAAGTAATGGTACTAAGTGGAAACTCAAAATGTGTCAGTGGCTACAGATTTATTGATTTAGAAATTCTTGCTTGTATTTTTGATAAACTTGAGTGTTTTTATTTTCGCTTAATGACAACCATCACAGTTGTCATTAAGCGAAAATAAAAAGTCTTGCAAGAAATATGCATCAAATTTACCTTTAAATTTTGTTTGTGGTTTTAAGTTAGACTTTGACACATCAAAAAATGTAGCAGGGTTTGATATTTATAAAAGATTAGTATATGCCATGACAACAATTGGTTAAGGCTAAGCTGGTCTACATCGGTTTACTACTCTTATGAATATCCCAAAAGGATTATGCAATAAAAGCTATAATGTTGTTGTTTAAAAATTGACAACTGCAGCACAAACTGTTGCTATTGAAACAATGAATGAAGCTGCACAAGAACTCAGAGAAGACAAATTTCCTAATGAGATTGTAGATACTGGAGTTTCTGTTGATGGAACATGGCAAAAAAGGGGATACAGTTCACACAATGGGGTGATTGCAGCATTATCAATTAAAAATGGGAAGATTTAAATGTTGAAGCATTATCTAGAAATTGTAAAATATGCGACGAAAATCAAGATGTTGTTAATTCAAAGCAGCAGCAAACAGGAGCAGCAAAAAAAAAAATTACATTTGCAATAAAAACTATGAAGGATCATCCGGTGGAATGGAAACAGTTGGGACAACAAAGATAATTGCAGAAATTTAATTTAAGGTACACAGAATACTTGGGTGATGGTGATAGCAAAACTACACTTCTGTAAAAAACACTTACAAGGGTATTGAAGTAATTAAACTGGTTTGTTTCGGATATTTAAAAAAGCGCATTGGATCTCGTTGTAGACAATTGAAAAAACAAGTCAAGGGCTTAAATGGTAAAGGCGGTTTAACAAATGCTACAATTGATCGATTACAAAATTGTTTTGGTATATGCATTAGGCAAAGTTGTGGCAACCTTAAAGGTACGAGATCTTCAGCCTTGGCAAGCTAATTTCATGTAGCATCTTCAATAATTGGCATTACCCGCATCGTCCCACAGGTAAAGATAGTTAGTGTAAATTCAATCAAGATAAAGCTGATGGAATCAATGAATATTAACTGGGATCAGGTGTTCCTATTGAAATTGTTCTTAAGTTAAAGCTCATTTATGTAGAACTAACATCAGATGTATACTTAAACCGTTTGCTTCATGGAAGAACACAGAACCAAAATGAAAGTTTTAATGCAACGATATGGTCCAGAATACCTAAGGTAAAGTATGTTTCGCTTACGCAATTGAAATTCGGACTCCATGATGCTATTGGTGCTTTTAATATATGATTAAAATCTAGTATCCTTATATTTGAAAGACTTAATATGATACCAGGGCAACATACCATTTCTGGATGCAATTACTTAAACCAGAGACGAGTTAGGATGTCGGAGTATAAAAATCGGCAGAAGTATCTTGAGAACCGCTTGATCGATTTTGATAAAGTTTTCAGGGAGTATTCCTCTCATAAAGATGTATGCAAAGAACAGACAACTTTTTAAAAATGTTTTTTAAACTAAAGAAATTAAAGAAAATGTTTATCATTTTTGAGCTTAAAATGTTTTCCAAAATTAAACAGGCCTACCACCTGACATAAAAGTTATTTTCAAAAACTTCTTTTAACTTTCTTTTTATTGCATAGATCTACCTTTTTATTATAATTTGGAAATGAATCAGCTGAAAGTATAATTCTAATTGACTGCAATCTTTGCCAGGGTGAAGAGACTAATTTTATGGAACATGTAATAATTTCATTGATGCT